TATATATATATATTTTTCAAGTATAAGCATTTCATTTTTAATCAATTACACAAAAAGAATATTTTGATGCATTTCAATTTTCATGTCTAAAGAATTAGTTTTGTAGTAGTACTAGTTTATAATTATATACTTTGGTACGTTTCATATTGGATATTTCAATATTTTCTTTTATAAATATCGTACTAAATATTTTTTTAAAAATTTATGTCAAATATTATAATACTGTTAACTAACTGAGCTATTAAAATTCTCATATATCACACCTCTAATGTTTTGTTAAAAAAGAATTAGGTTGGGATTATATAGTAATAGTAATAAAGAAATGATCATTCGGTCTAACTCAACTCTTAAAATTACATCAAAAATTAGATTCGTATATAAAACCCTATATAGGGCAACCAATTTTTCCTCCCACAATCAATGTAAATTACTTCGACACTCCTCGCACATCCATGATTAACAATATAGCATGAAGGTTTAACATTGGGTTAATCTATAATTATGCGATGACAATTGATTGTATGGTGATTGACGATGATCAGTGATAATAGTTGACAGTGATAATAATTGCGAACGGCTATCACTGTAAAATTGTAGAATAGAAATCTCAATAATATTAGATTATTCAGATTTATTGAGTGATTGTAACAAGAGAAAAATACATTTAACAAATAATTAATAAATTTGAATAATTAAAATTAAAATCTAAAAATAAATTTAATAATTGAGATTTGAATAACTAAATTTAAAAAATTTAATAAGTACAAACCAATAAGATCTTAATGTCATTAAAATATTTAATTTAAGGGGGTCCGATTGGACGGGATAGATTTTAGTCATTTTCCGTAGAAACTAAATAGCGTAACGTAGCTAAAATATAGTATTTATCTGCCCAATGATTGAGAAATTCAAGGAATTAAAAGGAATAAAGCAAAGTACAAATAGCCATCAAAAGCGGATCTCAAAAATATTAGAAAGTGTATTATAGTCCTTTATTCATCGTCCATTATATTAAAAATAAATATCAATTTTTACTTATTTAACTTTAAATATTAATTAAAGATACTTTATTATTTTATATCTATTTTACTTTTATTAATTAATTTATTATTTTTTCAATTGTAAATGACTTATAATAATTAAGAATAATAAGATAAAATTACTATTTTTATTTAGAGTGAATTTCATAAATAGTTATAGTTTAAAGTATAATTATCATAATAGTTATAATTAGCTAATTTACCATTTGTATTGTTTTGATGCAGTAACTGTTTCAGTTCACTAATAGCTATATTGCTTATCATTTGTATGTTTTGATTCAATAACTGTAATTCAGATTACTAATAGGCAATAGCCTATATTTGTTCATTTAGTAGGGACTTTATATATGAATATAGTTGCAATTGTTACCAGCATGTCACTTATATTTATCCGGTCTAATGTTTGTATCAATTATCAACACTTACAATCTTGATTCATATACTCATGATAAGTCGTATGTATATACTTAGACCTTAATTCGTTGTATCAACACATATATTCACGCTAAATTATATGTGCATGCTCAACAAATCGATTCACTCTCTCATAGAATGAAGATGTGCATAACAAAAAAAGACAACCCAAATCTATACATACATACATACACATTTGCCACATTTTTTGTTGTTTGATACGATCTTGCGGGACAAAGCCAGTTAATTACTGATTCGAATTAGTAACTTTAGTTCAACTTTTATATTTATATTTAAAAAATTATTCAATATATAGAGATAAATTATTCAAAACCCAATTAATAAGAAGGAAGATAATTTAGAAATTATAAACAAAAAATCTTGATTATTATTCCTCCACATTCATATCAAGTAATGTGAGTAATATTTTAATTAGTTCTTTAACCAGGCAATTTATTCTTTTTTTATTTTTAGTATCAAAAACCTTTGAATCGGATTTAAAAAGTCGCTTCTACCCAAAAAAAAAGAAAAGATTAAAAAAGTCACAAGTCTAAAAAAAAGAGAGAGTTAATTTCTACGAATTGAGGTCGCCATAAATTATTTAACACAATATGTTATTCAAAGTCTAAACGATTAATAAAGTAACTAATCACTACTGTATTAACTAATTTGAACACATGAGAAGTGACAAATACATTTGCTCCAAATCATGTTGTCTGGTCTACGAATTTGAATAAAAGTATATATTACGTCCTTTTATTTTGACGTAGTTTCGTTTCTTAATTAAGAAGGAAGCCTGGAAGTTCATAAAACCTTAATTATATATATATATATTCAAATAAACAAGACAGTATGTGGAGAACATTTATAGGAACAAAAAAAAAATATTTATATGAGCCAACATATATAATACTTTTCATATAAATCGATCTTAATATATTACTAATAAATTATATTCAATTGTATTATTGTATATTAAAAGATTGAGAAAAGGATTCGAAATATATTTGAACTTTGATCGAAATTGCTATAACAATTTCAAACTTTGGACAGGACCTATTACTATTTGATAGTATATTTTAAAGATATATAAGTACCCACGCGGACATCATAAATATTGCAACATGTCCCGCTGGGCACTTATATATCTTTAAAATATAGTATTAAATAGTGCAGGGTAATAGGTATTGCCCAGGATTGTTAAAGCAATTTCGATCAAAGTTCTGATATATTTCAGACATTTTTCCCTTAAAAATTGTTATAAGAGAAAAAAATAAACTTTTTAATTTATTTATTTTGGAGCGAGTCTTCTAATATATTATTTCTTACGTAATATGTGAATTTGATGGATAATTACTACAGTAATTTCTGAATATATGACGATGGAGTGGAAATTGTTGGATATTTGGAAAACCCCAAAATGCCCTCCACTACCAAACAGGAAAATGACCATGTTGTCCCTCAATGTGAACAAAATTAAGTTATAATCAGTTAATCACAACAGCACAGGATCAACGTGAAGATCACGACATATTTTCTAACAACACGATTTGTTGGTTTGACTTATGAGGGATCGTATTGCGATTTGCGGGGACCAATCTGATTTTTCCTCTAATTAAAAAATACTAGGAAATTAAGATGAAAAATTTTAAAATCTCGTGATTTTAAATTAAAGATATGTTAAATAAATCAAAACAGTACACTTAAATTTTGTGGTTTTAAATATATCAGGTAAAAAGTTAAAATTAAAGAATTGCAAAAAGAGAGAAAAGAAACATTCTTTTCTAAAGGGACTAACAAGAAACGAAGGACAAACAAATTGAAACAAAAGGAGTGATAAATAATATGCATATTTTATTTTAATATTCAAGACAACATTTTAAAAAAAACTTGAAAAACGATTAGTAAAATGAGTACACCTTAATTCTAAAATAAATTGGGATCAACCATGAATCGTGATTATATTTCTCTAACAATACAATATACAAAATGTGTAATCAAGTTTCTAATAAGCAATACATAAAATAATGTACAAACATTATTAGATTATATTATTAGTTAATTCCTTAAGTCCATGAAAATTAAAATTATGCCAATTATTTTTACATAACAATGCTAAAATCTTCATTCGTTCGTTTCATTTGACAATATTCGAATGACCAACGAGTTCCAAATCATTAGGTTAGCTCAGGGGTAGATTTAGAATGTAGGGTGAAGTTCTCGGAAATTTAATAACTTTTATGCAATTTCATATTTATATTGAGAAATGTAGTAAATATATAAGAGCTACGTACGGAAAGGAACTTGTTAAGTTTTACGTCCTTCTTGACTAGAGTTCGATCCACCTCTACATTAATAAATATATATATATATTCAACAAGTAATATTGAAAATATTAAAATATATAACAGTTAAGAAGGTATAATTTATTTTTAATAAATACAAAGCTCATATATTATCAAGACTGTAGTATATAACTGAAAGCTACAAATTCTGAGATAGTTATGTTTTGACAGATAGGCTATAGATATGTGAATCATCATTATTGAAATTTTCTTAGTATAAACACGAGGTTTCTGTTGCTTGCCAATAACTTATTATTGTTGAAATTTTCTACGAAACAACAAGGAGAGATCTTCACCACCCTACTCCATTTTTGACTTTGCTTTGCAACCTAATATTCTACTGAACTAGTACTTGGTGTGTTTGGTATCACAAAAAAATAAAATATTTTTTTGGAAGCATTTATATGTAATCTAGCAAAACACTACGAAAAAAGTGGGGAGGAGATGGGGAGCAGGACGATAGGGGGTGGGATGGTCAAGAGGTGAGGTTGAGGGATTTGATAGGTTGGAAAGAGACAATGAATTTAGAATGTCATTTATGAAACTTGTTTTTTTTATTTCTATTAATGTCATTTCCCTCATTTTTAAGTAACTTATTTCCCTAAAAAATGTTTATCAAAAAACATTTTCCTCCATTCTAAACACACCTATTTGAATTGACTTTCATAGTTTTTGGTTAAGATTAAAAAAAGTTAATCATTTTTTAAAAAATCATAATAACAAAAATAAGTCAAAAATTATAAGTTAAATTTTCTAAATTTAATGACTTATAATTAAATCGTAAGCAATAAGTCTATACAAACACGCTCTTGGTAATTTTTGGTATTTACACCAATCATATGAATACACCAATCACATATGTAACGGCACAACTACATAAATTCTAAGAATTATCAGTTGAATACTTCCCGCTATCTTATATATCAAATAAAATAAAATGTATTAATTTTAAATACATTTATTAAAAATTTATGATTTAATACAGATCTTGTATCAAATTAATTTGAGGTAGATAATGTGCTGGTAAACTTTTACCATCAAAGATGTAGGGTCAATTGGAGTAGCAAAAAACCAAAATGGGCAAAAATTGAAATAACAGATTTACCTAGAAAAGACGCGCCTTCATTTTTCTCTTGTATATAAAGTGCAACAACTATAACTTCTTCACTACCCAAAAAACTGAATATTTAGAGAGAGAAAGCCATGGAAGTGCAGAGGGGATTCCCTTTGCTAAAACAGCAGTACAAAGCCTTAATAAAGAAGAATTATTTAGTCTCATGGCGGAACAAGATGGCCACATTTCTTCAGCTTTTCGCATCGCTCTTCTTCATCTTCCTTCTATTCCTAATCCAGAGAGCTATCGAAGCTCGCTTCTCTTCTTCCACATCCTATAAGGATGTGCGGGACCCAGAACCTCTGCTGTCGCCGCCAATTCCGCCTTGTGAGGACAAAAACTTCATCACTTTCCCCTGCTATGATTTTGTTTGGAGTGGCTCTCAGAGTCCGAAAATTGGTCAGATTGTAAACGGAATTATGGCTAATAATCCTGGCAGGTCGATTCCTTCATCCAAGGTATATTTATATATACACACATTCCTAGTTGACTTTTTTCCTCGACTGATTTATTGATGATCTGATTTTTAATCTCTGTATTTTCCTTTATATTGAACTGAGATTTGTTTAGCGGAATTATTATAATTTGGGGATAAATGAGTTTGAGTGCAATAGGTTTTTGCCGCGTTAGTTTCTCTTTTTTTTCTTTTTATTATCATATGAATCTTATAGTAGTATAATGACTTGGAGTTGGATAAATTGTGTTGTTAGAGCGATTGAACTTATTGAAAACACTTTAATCGCTGCAATGGAGAAATTACCTTTTCGAATGTTAAAAAAAAAGATATTTTTGCCTAAATAAATAAATAAAGAATTAATGCTTACAGTACAACAACAGCAACAACAAACCAATGTAATCTCACAATTGGACTCTAGGGAGGGCAAGATGTACACAACCTTACCTACCTTTATGGGGTAGAGAAGTTGTTTTTGATTGACCTGGGGAAGCCTCCTTTATCTGGGATTGGGACCAGCAATGTGAACGAGCTCAGACGGGTGGAATCGATTGACCTGGGGAAGCCTCCTCCTTTATCCAGGTTTGGGACTGCAATGTGAATGAGCTCTTACAGGCGGAGTTAATGCTAAACAGTATGAATCACGAAATAAACCTGATAAGAAATTTTGCAATTATCCTGCTAGGTTGCTTCTTCATGTCTAATTTTCCTACTATGATTTTCTTTTGTGCAAACAGTGCCACTTTGTTAGCGATAACATCTATAGCTTCTGTGGTCTAATTTGTGTCTTCCTTGTTTTTTTCCCTGCTCTGATTCATATGCTTCTTAAGTACTTTATTTGAAAATTCTTGTTAGGGAAAAAAATCTGTTAATCTTGGGCCAAAGTGAAGTTATTTTTCGTGATCTTGTTAATTAAAGTTTCAAGTAATATCAGCTAGTACAGCTTGCTTGTAAGCAATAAACTCACTTTCTACTATTCGTAGTATTTCAGAAAATAAATTTTCAGATTACTGCTTGTCATAAATGTTGTTGTCCTCTCCAAGAAATAAGTCTAGTGCAGCTCTTTACTAGCTTTTTTTAAACATTAATATGCTTGGAAACTTCATGCTTTTTTATGTTTAGGAGAATTGGCTAGTCTCTTAAGTCTCAAGGGGACTCTTTGGGTCATTGCTGTCAAGGCCGATGTAGGCTCTGACAATGATTTCGGCAGAACCTGGTAGCTTTGACATAAACACCCATATATTTGTTAAGAAATTCATTAAATATGCACAAAAATTAAATTCGTTACAAGCACTTGAGGCCAGTTGTCTTAGAATAAAGAAACCCAAATAGTTCAAGTCATGGATCTGCCCCTGCTTGGTGTAATGAGATGTGCGGGTAATCTTTTATTCCAGAGAGACACACTTTTCCACACACAGAGCATCAGTTAGTAATGCAATCCCTGAATGAACCGATCTGTGTGAAAATGTGAAAGTGAGTTGAGGATTTGGGATTAACTAAATATATGAAGTAGGGAGACGCGGTGTCTTATATCCTATAGGAGAAATGGACCTTTCCATTCCCTTACACAAAACATGGTGTGCATGAATAATATTAGTAATGTGCTTTTACAGCATGAGAGTATGCAAAGGGGATTCCCCTTGAAAAGAGTGAACATTCCCACTCTTTTACATATTCTTAACAAAAGGATTGCCTAAGCAAAAATTAAGGAATATAAGAAGATTCTTGTCCTTTTCAAGTTGATAGATACTAAATATAGAGAGGTGAAACTTCCATATGAAAATCTGAGGTTATTTGATTTGTCTGGCCTAACTCTGAAGTTAATCATCTGTATCTTGTTCGACTTGAACAGCCTCAGACTTATCTTGGCAGATCCTTTATCTTGAAAAACATGGTTGATTCCAGTAGTACAGTCACTCATTTTGCCAAATCATCCTCTTCACAATTTGCCTCCCTAAAACAAAGAACAATTACTCCTTATGTTTTCTAGCCCAAGAATCTGTCCAGTGTTCACTATTAGCTTTCTCTATCGTCATGGAGGTGATGTGATTCCTTCAGCGTATTAACAACAAGCATAAAATCTAGTTTAAGAATTGCATTGGTAAATCCTGAATTGATGCACCAATTTTAACTTCATTAAAAGATAGATTCCTGTCGTTTGAGTGTGACAGTGTCCTGTTTACCAATTTATTTCATGCAATGGTTCCTCTAATTTGGTTCATTCTTTAGTTTAATATTTCGAATTGAATTCTTGTTGGAACATTGACCTATCATACCATGACTTCTTTTCCGCAGGTTTTGTCATTTAGAACACGAGATGAAGTGGATGACTGGCTTTTCAAGAACCCTATGCGTTGTCCTGGAGCGCTACATTTTGTTGAAAGGAATGCTAGCGTAATCAGTTATGGTATACAGACAAACTCCACTTCAGTTGCCAATCGAGGAGTCTTTGAAGATCCAACTTTTACGTTCCAAATCCCACTTCAACTGGCAGCAGAACGTGAAATTGCGAGATCTCTGATTGGAGGTAATATAAATGTGATATTTACTACTGGATTTGATCCAATAAATGGATATGATGGTTTAAATCAAGTCCTCTTTTTTCCTAAGCTCACCTTTATCTTATGATTGTGTACATTTTCAGATCCAAATTTCAGTTGGGTTGTCAGTCTCAAAGAATTTGCACATCCGGCTTTTGAGGTTTTCTCTGCCTTGCGTACCATTGGACCTACCTTTTTCTTGGCTGTTGCTATGTTTGGATTTGTCTTCCAAATCAATGCTTTGATCATTGAAAAGGAACTCAAACTTCGGCAGGTATCACTTCTGGCATTTTGTAAGAGATAATACCATTCTTGCACTTCATGGATGATTTTCAATTTCTGAATGTCACATTTTTCTTACAGGCAATGACTATGATGGGTCTCTATGATACTGCTTACTGGTTATCATGGTTCACATGGGAGGGATTCATCACACTTCTCTCTTCTCTTCTCACAGTTCTCTTCGGGATGATGTTTCAATTTGATTTTTTCTTGAACAACAACTTTGCGGTCGTGTTTCTTCTTTTTTTCCTCTTCCAACTTAATATGGTTCGTCTCCAACATTCAACTTAACACTTTCACCAATTACAATCTACATTCATTTGGAGCTTCTAATGAAGCTATATTACTTGAATATTTTTGTCCACTGAGATAGAATTTCTGCTCCTGTGGGCAGGTTGGTTTTGCATATATGGTGTCTGCTTTTATTAGCAAGTCATCTTCAACAACAACTATGGGCTTCTTCATCTTTATTATCGGTTTCATGACTCAGGCAAGTGCTTATCTTCGAATCGATACTATCCATTACTGACTCACTGGGATGACTTATTTCTTGTCTCTCATTTTTCAGCTTGTAACAGCATTTGGATTTCCCTATAGCACGGACTACTCCAAGAGCTATAGGATCATCTGGTCATTGTTCCCACCAAATCTTCTTGCTCAAGGTCTTCAGTTACTTGCTAATGCAACTGCCACTCCTGAAGATCCTGGTGTTAGCTGGAGTGGGAGGACAAAATGTGCTTTTAATGATACAGAGTGTGTAATAACTATGGTAAGACTCCTATTGCAAAATAGGGCTTCTCTTTTAGTTTCCAGTTCTCTTGATTCTAGGGATGGAGGTGAAGCACTTTGAGAGTAAGGACTTTGTTTGTTCGTACATGATTTCAGTAGCTACTTTTTGTTCACTTCTCATCACTGTTATAGCTCTGTGACTTTGAATGAGAGTGGAGCTAATGAGTTGTAGAGGGAGGGAGGAGAGACTCTGGGTTGGTCGAAGTATTTCTTAAAAACATACACACACATATCTTCATAAGCTTTACAAAGGTTGGTCGAAGTACTTCTTTACAAAACTTATTCCATGAAACAAGGATCACATCTCCTTTACAATTAAGGATCACATCTCCTTTACATCTCCTTTTCAAACTAAGCAAATTATTAAAGAGGAACTATTAGACTATCTCGAAAAATCTCATTTTTTCTAGAAGTTAGTTCTTTCTTAATGCAATATTGCTTTCAGTCTCATACAGTCATCTTGCATCTCACATACACCCATTATCTGTTGTTTCTCTTTACAGAACGAGATTTACATATGGCTCGTGTCAACATTCTTTCTGTGGTTTGTTCTGGCTATTTACTTGGATAACACAATCCCGAATATTTCTGGTGTGAGAAAGTCAGCATTCTACTTCTTGAATCCTGGTTACTGGACAGGCAAAAGTGGAAATAAGGTGAAAGGTAACCAAAATTTATCAGTACCTTAATATCGAATTTCGAGCATACTGTGACAAAACTTTAAGGCTGTTCATTTTGTGCTCAGAGGGTAGTGTTTGTAGCTGCACAGGTTCAGTGCCAGCCTTGGATAGTATTATACCAGATGACGAAGATGTTCTTGAAGAAGAAAACGTTGTTAAACGGCAAGTTACGCAAGGTGAAGTTGATTCTAATGTTGCAGTTCAACTACATGGTCTTGTAAAGATATTTCCTGGAACAACAAAGATAGGCTGTTGTAAATGCCAAAGGAAATCTCCATTTCATGCCATCAAGGTATTTTATCCATTGGTCTATAAGAAGCTAACATTAGCTGTTTTTTCTGTGCAAACAGAAGTCATCAGTAGAGAAAAGAAAACACTTTACGCGTTCAGATAGGAGTCAAGCATGGAATCTAGTTTGAGACTTGTCTCAAAATTTGTTTTTTGGTTTCTCTTGCAACTTCTTTGGATTTCCCTAGCAATTTATTCAAATCAAAATGTGTGTTTAGTTTCATTTAGTACATGTTTTACATGTGTAAGAATAGCCTATGGGAAATGAGAAGTCGACATTTCAAAAGATAAAAAAGTTAGAAGAAATAGCATCAATATTTAATAATCCTCTGGAGATCCTACACCTCTACCCTGGCTGCATCTTCATCTCATTCTTTGGAGTCAATACTGCAGGGCTTATGGGTGAATCTTGCAAAGGATCAGCTATTTTGTCTTCTTGGGCCCAATGGAGCTGGAAAAACTACTACTATTAATTGTTTGACTGGGATTACACCTGTTACTGCAGGAGATGGTAATATAATTTAGTCACTCAAATTCTGTGTTCATTGCATATTACTTATGTGTAACACAAAGCTGCTTTTTAACAGCACTAGTATATGGTGAGTCCATAAGAAGTTCTGCAGGCATGTCAAACATTCGATCGATGATAGGGGTTTGTCCCCAGGTGACTATTTTTTATCTTTATATGTTCCTATTTTCAATTTTTTTCATGGAACTGACTAAGACTCTACACCAGCAATACTTTGTTTCCATAAAAGAAATTCATTCATTTTTGTCGTTTTACAGTTTGATATTCTTTGGGATGCATTGTCCGGTCAAGAACACCTGCATATTTTTGCCAGCATTAAAGGTCTACCCCTTGGTTTAATAAAAGAGGTGAGCATAAACCTAATCTGTATCTAGCCTTTTGTGCCTGTCTAAAGATCTGATGAACAAGCTCAGCACAGAATAGAATGATTATAAATCCTGCTTGACCAATTGTTCGATCAAATCACAGGTAGTAGAAAAGTCATTAGCCGAGGTAAAACTCACACAAGCAGCCAGAATGAGAGCTGGTAGTTACAGTGGAGGAATGAAAAGACGTCTTAGTGTTGCTATTGCTCTTATTGGTGAACCAAAATTGGTCATTTTGGATGAACCGGTAAGTTTTGGAAAATAAAGTTTTCTCGTGAGTTATCAGAATTATGCTAAAAAGAAATTATCATGACATTCTCTTTTCTAAAACATGAAAACGCTTCATAGACTACTGGTATGGATCCAATAACTAGAAGACATGTCTGGGACATAATTGAGGATGCAAAAAAAGGGCGTGCCATTATCCTGACCACACATTCAATGGAAGAAGCTGACATCTTAAGTGACCGCATTGGTATCATGGCAAAGGGTAGACTTCGTTGCATTGGAACTTCAATAAGATTGAAATCAAGGTTTGGAACTGGTTTCATTGCTAATGTAAGCTTTTCTGGTGGGACAAATGGGACTCCTGATAGAGAAGATACTCTGCGTACATCTCAACCTGAAGCTGTGAAACAGTTCTTTAAAAGTGTATGTCAAATGTCTTTTGCTTTTTCCCTTTATTTTCTGAAACTACTAAAAGGAACTGGTCTGATTTGCAAACTATGCCTGCAGCGTCTGGACGTGGTGCCTACAGAGGAAAACAAGTCCTTCCTAACCTTTATTATTCCCCACGCCAAGGAGAAGCTGTTGACGGTAATATCTTTATAGCAACTTTGAGATTAGATTAGTTTAACACCATTTCTGGTCTTTCTACTTTATTGTGGAATTATATGCACACACACATTTGGACTATTAGCTCATTTGGTGATCATTGGATTTTACCCTCAATCAGGACTTCTTTGCTGAGCTACAAGATAGAGACAAGGAATTTGGCATATCAGATATCCAGCTCGGGCTTACCACTCTTGAAGAAGTTTTTCTGAACATCGCTAGACAGGCAGAATTGGAAGATGTGGCTGAAGGAAGCTCTGCAACTCTTACTTTGAATACAGGACTCTCACTTCAAGTAAGTTGTTTATCATATTCTTGGTTCTATAATTTTCATGATGAAATTGCACGCGAAAATTATAATCCCTGTGAAATAAGTAACACTGTTTTATTTGTTGGTATGACTATTCAGATACCTATAGGAGCAAGATTTGTGAAAATTCCAGGAACAGAATCTGCTGAGAATCCAATTGGAACTATGGTAGAAGTGTATTGGGATCAAGATGATTCTGGTAGGCTCTGCATTTCTGGTCACTCACCAGATATGCCAATACCAGCTCATGTTCAACTAAGAGATCCTCCAACAGACACTTCTAGTAGTGGCTTTTTGCGAAAACGGAAACAAATTCAAGGAACTGTGATTGATCCTGCACAGATCACGGGTGCAAGTTCGTAATAAAAATAGAACTTAGTAATCACAGTAAAAAAGGTTTTACAGAATATTTTTTTTTGTATAAGTGAATTGTTGTAAATGTGTTTGCTACTTGGGACATCTGTTTGTCACAAGAACATTATTTTTTTCCGGCTGGTTCTTTGTATGGTATAGCTTCGTTTTTGGTTAACATTAATTTATCTGTATACTACAAAATTATTTGTAACATTTACTGTCAATCTTATAATGAAAACATTTCTATTTTCAATATTTTTGATAAATAATTAATGCATGTATCTTCTTCTTATTTTTTTTAATCTTCTTAACCTAAGGCTAAGTAGCAAACAATATACCAAATTGGAAGGTTTGCATTTAGTTTGGTTTCGTTATTCTTCTACGTAATTAATTTTTCACCTCTGTGTGGTTACTTTTTTTAAATTAGTACAGCAGATAGATAAGAGAACACTTAAAAATGACGAGTGTATATTTGTTCAGGCAATTAACAACTGCTGGCACGTGTGGTTCAAGAAAAAAAAAACCATGATATACAACGAGATGGAGATTCAAAAGTTAAATTTGAAAGTAGAGGTGTATTTTTTAATCTTTTTCCTTATATGTAAAAGTATTTTATTGATTGTGTAAACACAACAACAATAACATGCTCAGTAAAATTCCATAAAATGGAATTTGAAAAGGGTTAAGTGTATACATACCTTACAATTACCTCGTGGAGGTAGTCAAGTAGATAAACATATGTTTGATGGTCGAATAAATGCCACTCTTTTTTACTTTGATGGAGAAATATAGGAAAGATAGGTAAGCTTGAGGATTAACTTTTAAATTAGTGCTTAATCCTCACTTGTAAACGTAAATGCGCTGCCACCTCAGCAATTAACGGTTAGCATTCAAAATTTGAAACCAATATGATAAGAGCGTGTTAATTGGGCCCACTGGACGGGCCCAACCCGAAGAGCCGTTTCTACAGAAGTTTTAGATTTAATTTTGAAGCAGTTGTAAAATTTCCCGCCCAAACACCACTGCTATCTCTTGGGAATATATATACCCAGCCCTAACTTCACAACTCTCATCATTTCTTTCTATCTCTCTCTCTGGAAAACCTAAAATTTATCAATGGAAGTCTCCGGCAAAGATCAATCTTCTGTTTCTGGTATTTGTCTTCGCCTTTTAATTTCTCTGTGTTTTTCGTTTATGATTGTGCGTATAAGTTTGTTTCGCTGTATGTGTAAATGTGATTGACGGTTTTTTTTTTCCGCAGCTAATGCTAAGCGATCATCATCAGCAACGAAGCTTCTTCGATATCCACTGCGATCGGGCACTAAGCCCAAGGAGGAGAAGCCGCCTCTGACTGATGCTTCCAACTCTTCGGTTCCTAGAAGGTTTGTCTCTATTACTGTTGTTACTACACTGATTTTTAGTGCGTGTAGCGAATTTAGTGTGATTAGACTGTCAAAAGACGGCAGTTGTATGAGTATACGTTGTTTGGATGAATTCTCTGATCATTTGCAACCCTAGAAATGCTAACCTACATTGAACCATTCGCCATGAAATACCTATTTGTTTTGGTTTTGGAAAAGGGAAAAGAAATTGCTGAATTTTGTATACATGATGTTCTGCTTTGTTATGAAGGTCAATCATATTGACGTGGTATGTTGAACAATTATTGATTAATTGGCCTACAAACCTTATCCAACATAGAGTTTTCCTCTTAGCTTATATCCTTGTGAAATTCCTTTTCATGCTACTGCAGCACACTACTATAGAATCACCAGGAGATGATCAGTAGAGCTTAAAACTGCTTCTTCAATCTGCGCGATAATTTTTGGTTTGGAATCAAGTAAACCCTATTATCAAATTTGTTTTACGAAAGCAGATGTTAAGTAGTCTCTAAAGTTAAGGTTATATAGCGTTATGTTGTTCCTGGTTGTGATTAATGGGGTCTTGGAGAAAGACAACCTTGCCTTAGTAAAGTAGCAGAGAATGGTATCACTTTTCCTTTCAAATAGAAATCTAAACAAATTAAACTATTGTCATGTACACAAGCATAGTGACTTTAAGGATGTGCACTTTTCCCAGTAATTTTATTCTTACTTAAGCCAAATATTTGTTTCCTCTGATGTCCATGCTTGCTTAATTTTTTTCATCTCCCATTTTAGGGGAAAACCTGTCTCAAGTGTCAGTAAGAGTATTAGTGTCCTTGATCTTGGCAAGGAAAAGTCTGCTGCTAAACCTCCAAGAAGGCTGTCTATTCAATCTAAGTCAAGTGCCAGCCCTGCTTCAAGAGCAGTAGGCACTATCACTCCTATATCGGAGGCTAGGGCAAAGAGATCCGTGATCAACCAGGGGAAAACTAATACACCGCTTTCAGCTCTTGCAAAGTCATCAAATGGAAAGGAAAGCAATCGTCTATTCTCTGCACTCTACTGGCTATCCCAGATTAAGCTCTCTGAATCTGCTGCTAAGCATTCAATTTCTCTTGGGTTTTTCAAACTTGCTTTGGAAGCTGGCTGTGAGGTACGATAATATCTATGAAAATACTCTCCCGACTGTGTCCCTTGAAGATCAGCAGATATCTACTTTTCATTTATTTTTTTCTAATTAAGAAGTTTAGTGCTGTTTATGAATTTCACTATTTTCCCATTGCAATGTTGTAGAGAAATTCAAAACTGCCTGTAGATAGTGAATTAAGCTATAGAAATAAACTACTTACCTCATATCTTTTTCTGTCTTTTTTATTTCAGCCGCTTCAACGTTTGAGGGATGAGCTGAAATCCTATGTGCAACGTCATAGCCTTCTAGATCTCGGGGAGCCAGTGAAACAATTGTTTGAAAGCTACAATATTTCTCACGATTTTGAGCAGTTGCAAGTATCTGAGACTTGTTCCCATGCACCTCAAGATGGGACACCTTCATCTGATGATGAAGTGCACAGCTCTTCATCTGTTGCTGGCACTGAGAAATCAGAACCTGAAGTCGTGACCAAAGATGCTATTGAAACTTGGCAAGTGGCAGAACCAACTAAAGAGACTTCATCAAGGAAAGACATTGCAACGAAGAACCATAAATCTGTAAGTAAGATTGCTACAACTCCAAACTCTACAGAGGTTGCTGCAACTCCAAAATCTACAGAGGTTTCTGGTACCATAAAAAAGAAGCTTGAAAATCCTAAGCAAAAACCAAATAAGAATAAGGCGAAAAGACAGGGAAAGAAATCTGCTGGAGTAGAAGGTAAATATCTGTTGGTAACTTTCTTGGTTAAAAGTCTTGCTGTTTGTGTATGTTACTGAGATTTATAACTATTTTTATCATAGGTCCTGCTAATGCTGGCACTGCTGAGATAGCCCTTCCAGAAGACAAAGAGAATATGGTAAGAAGAGATAATATGGGAGTTTCAAAAGCCTTTTTAAAGTTCTCATTGATCAATTTCCAATCTTTTACTAGTGAACTATTGTATTTTTGTCTTGTCTGATCAACTAATCACCTGAAGACACCATACTCTCTTAGAACTTCCTCTTTTATGTCAAACATGGCTTCTTGACTAAGGATTAACTGCTATTTATTTTTTATTTTTTATTTTTTTGCAATTGTAAGCATGTCATATAATACTAATAGTTAACTTTGCTATCACTATTTGCAGGATGCTCCGCAGTTGGAAGTTTAAATGCATTTATGGAATCAAAGAATGTTGAACAGACTTCTGTTATGGTTATTTGTTTTGGTGTTCATAAGCAGGAAGTTCTTCCTTGTATAGATCATAGAAGGGGCGAGTGGAAGTGTCAATCTGGGGTGTGCATGTGAAAGAGTCATGTTTTCCTTGTTTGGTTCTAGTTTGACCCAAGACTTTTGGGCATTTGGTTTTACGATATCATACTGGAAGTGTTTTTATCATGCTTCAGTTCTATGCAGTGAAGTATTTACATGAATATTGCTACTTGCTGGTTTTTCATCATCTGATATGCACAGTGAGAATTGCAAGTATATTGCAGTAGTTATATTGGATATAATAGTGATTTATCTGCCCAAAATTTTAGATCAGCGGAGACCCTGGTCATTTTGTGTCGTTTGCTTGTTCATATACGGCCCCCTTGGTCGTTCTGCGTAGTCACTCCTGTTAGCGCTTTGTTATCTAGCATATTTTTGTCCATTTGAACTATAGGAAGTGATGAAGTGCAATGCGATTGTTCTGTGCAACATTAACTGTTAAGTGCCAACATTAACTTTCCGTCTTCAGTATGATTAACGTTGTCGACTACCAAAAGTTTAGTAACGTGGAAATTTTAAGATTAGAAACTCTCAATATACTAGACGATAAAGTCCAGGTGGAACTGGAAACTATGTAACAACAATAATTTCACTTCATTTCCATAGTTGTTAGATTTCATCTATTATACGGCTTCCTGTCACTTCAACTCATTTGCCCTTTTATCCCTGTAAAAGGTGACATTTTCATAGAGATGATTTCGGCATGTTTAGAACAAAATATGCGGAAAGTGTTGTTTAGCATTATGTAAACCTAGCTTTAACTGTTTCGCTGATAGACTTAATGAGATCAATAACCGATCAGTAAGAAAAGGGATCTGCTAATTAAATAACTAAAACGAAGTTGATAGCAATAGATCCAAAAGCAAATGAAAAGCTGTTGCTTCTTTTCAATTTAAATATATGATCATACAGTAGGTTTGCGAGGGTTACAAGTTAAATCCAAACTTGAAAGTTAATGGAAGTATCTGAAAACCATCTTTGTTGGAAAAGCAACTAGCACAATCTAAACAAATCCAATACCAGAAGACATAATCTACAGGAGCTTGACAAGCGGTGAACAACAATTGAGGGGAGTAGCATAGAGCAACAATACTGGGATCAGTATGAATGTGCTCCACTAAAATTACAATTCCGGACTAAGGTGTCTGGAACCATTACACAGATGAGCCCCCAAAGCTCATGATTGAGGTTGCAATAACCTCTATATTTGTGGTATCAGTCTGCAGTCCAGCTCTGCTCCACAATTTCTCTAACTCTCCGGTTGTACTCCCTCTTATTCTCACTAAACATCCGAGCAGCTTCCGAGTTTGCAGGAGAATTAGGGTTTGGATCACACAGCAGTGACTGCAAGAATAAGATAAAGTCATAATCATTTGT